ATTTCCTTGATAACTAGTGAGGTGTAGCCTCTTTATATATTTACTGGCCATTTACTTTGCATTAAATTTCTTTGCTTATTTTCTATTAAGTGGTTTATAATTTTTACTGACTTGATGAAACATTGGTATTTTGATAATTTTGAGACATGTACATGCTATCTGTACTGAGAATGTTTCCTCCCATCTGTCACTCATTTTTAACTATGGCACCATTATATTTAGCTAGATTTCTATGGAGCCTAAATTTCTTATTTTCCTTTATTTGTTTATTTTTTTCGAGGCAAGGCTTTATTGGGTCTAATGCTGCAGCATAAGGGGGTGAAAACAAGAGTCAGGTGCCCATGCTCACTCCAAAAGAGGAGCTGCTTGGGTCCTTAAAATGGGTAACAACAGGGGCAGGTACGTGGGTTGGGCAGGAGGTACAGCTTAGGTAACCTGTCCACTGCCGTGGTGGTGCTTTGTGCAGGGATTATGCACAATGCCCTGCTTTTGCTCCTGGCACCTCAACTGGTTTGTGGCTTTTTTTTAATCTTATTGTTCATAACTGCCCCAACTGCCATGTGTGCAGTTATTTTTAGTCCCTTACAGTTACTTTGTATTCTGTCGCTTCAGGGGAAGTTTGTCCAGGTTCAAGTGCTCTGGTAAAGGGTCCCAGGTACCCAGCCTATCTCAAGTGGAGACCTGCTGTTCTCAGCCTAGCTTTCCTCGTGATTTGGCAGAGGCCGTGTAGTTCCAGTCATCAAAGCCTTCTCTTCCTTAGAGCTCTTCCTATCTTCCTTTATATTGTTATTGGCTATCCTGTTCTACTTAGAAAGGCCCCTCCCTTTCCTGAGATTTAAAAAATATTCTACATTTTTCCTATCATTTTCAAAGTTACATATTTTTTTCACTCAGCCTTTAACACATCGAGATTTTATTGATGTACAGGGTGGCTGATAAAGCTCTATATTTATCCATTTTAAAAATTAACAGCTAATTATTTCAACTCAATTTGAGTAATTTATACCCAATGCTTAAATTGCCACCTTTACAATAAATTAAATTTTTATGAGGAAAACATAGGAAGAACACTCTTTGACATAAATCACAGCAAGATCTTTTTTGATCCACCTCCTAGAGTAATGGAAATAAAAGCAAAAATAAACAAATGGGACCTAATGAAACTTAAAAGTTTCTGTGCAGCAAAGGAAACTACAAACAAGACAAAAAGACAACCCTCAGAATGGGAGAAAATATTTGCAAATGAATGAACGGACAAAGGATTAATCTCCAAAATATATAAACAGCTCATGCAGCTCAATATTAAAAAAACAAACAACCCAATCCAAAAATGGGCAGAAGACCTAAACAGACATTTCTCCAAAGAAGTCATATAGATAGCCAAGAAGCACATGAAAAGCTGCTCAACATCACTAATTATTAGAGAAATACAAATCAACACTACAATGAGGTATCACCTCACACCGGTAAGAATGGTCATGATCAAAAAACCTAGAAACAATAAATGCTGGAAAGGGTGTGGTGAAAAGGGAACCCTCCTGCACTGCTGGTGGGAATGTAAATTGATACAACCAGTATGGAAAACAGTATGGAAGTTCCTTAAAAAACTAAAAATAGAACTACCATACGACCCAGCAATCCCACTACTGGGCATAAACCCAGAGAAAACCGTAACTCAAAAAGACACATGCACCCCAATGTTCATTGCAGCACTATTTACAATAGCCAGAACATGGAAGCAACCTAAATGCCCATCGACAGATGAATGGATAAAGAAGATGTGGTACATATACACAATGGAATATTACTCAGCCATAAAAAGGAACAAAATTGGGTCATTTGTAGAGACGTGGATGGATCTAGAGACTGTCATACAGAGTGAAGTAAGTCAGAAAGAGAAAAACAAATATCGTATATTAATGCATATATGTGGAACCTAGAAAATGGTACAGATGAACCAGTTTGCAGGGCAGACATTGAGACACAGATGCAGAGAACAAACATATGGACACCAAGGGGGGAAAGTGGTGGTGGTGGTGGTGGGGGTGGGATGGATTGGGAGATTGGGATTGACATATATATGCTAATATGTATAAAATGGATAACTAATAACCTGCTGTATAAAAAAAATAAATAAAATTCAAAAAAAAATTCTTATATACATTTAGAACTGTTCCTATTTTCTCCATTCTGCTCCTCTAATTTTCTGTACGAATTCCATACTATTAACAGCTTTATTAACTAGACAGCCACATGTGAAAGAATGAAATCAGGACATTCTCTAACACCATACACGAAAATAAACTCAAAATGGATTAAAGACCTAAATGTAAGGCCGGATACTATAAAATTCTTAGAGGAAAACACAGGCAGAACACTCTATGACATAAATCACAGCAGTATCTTTTCTGGACCCACCTCCTAGAGTAATGAAAATAAAACCAAAAATAAACAAATGGGACCTAATTAAACTTAAAAGCTTTTGCACAGCAAAGGAAACCATAAACAAAACGAAAGGACAACCCCCAGAATGGAAGAAAATATCTGCAAACAAAGCGACCAACAAGGGATTAATCTCCAAAATACACAAACAGCTCATGCAGTTCTACATCAAAAAAACAACCAACCCAATCAAAATATGGGCAGAAGGTCCAAATACACATTTCTCCAAAGAAGACATACAGATAGTCAAAAAGCATATGAAAAGAGCCCAACATCACTAATTATTAGAGAAATGCAAATCAAAACTACAATGAGGTATCTATCACTTCACATGGGTCAGAATGGCCGTCATCAAAAAGTCTACAAACAATAAATGCTGGAGAGGGTGTGGAGAATAGGGAACCCTCCTACACTGTTGGTGGGAATGTAAATTGGTACAACCACTATGGAGAACAGTATGGAGGTTCCTTAAGAAACTAAAAATAGAATTACCATATGTTCCAACAATTACCATACATCCCACTCTTGGGCATATATCCAGAGAAAACCACACATGCATATTTGAAAAGATACATGCACCCCAATGTTCACTGCAGCACTATTTACAACAGCCAAGACATGGAAGCAACCTAAATGTCCATTGACAGAGAAATGGATAAAGAAGATGTGGTACATATATGCAATGGAACATTACTCAGCCATAAAAAAGAATAAAATAATACCATATGCAGCAACATGGATGCACCTAGAGATAATCATACTAAGTGAAGTAAGTCAGACAGAGAAAGACAAATATCATATATCACTTTCATGTGGAATCTAAAAAAAATGATACAAATGAACTTATTTGCAAAACAGAAACAGACTCAGATTTCGAAAGCAGACTTGGGATTGTGGGGTGAGGGGGGACTTGGAAAGAGATAAATTAGGAGTTTGGGATTAACATATATACACTACTATATATAAAACAGATAATCAACAGGGACCTACTCTATAGCACAGGGAACTCTACTCAATATTCTGTAATAACCTATATGGGAAAAGAATCTGAAAAAAAATGGATATATGTATATGTATAACAATGACTTAGCTATATACCTGAAACTAACACAACACTGTAAATCAACTATACTCCAATATAAAAGAAAAATTAAATTTTAAGAAAAGGCTTATTTTACACTTTAACATCTGTTACATAAATGTCTTATTCATGATTCTACTTTTCAAGACCTCTTGGGTTTATTCTTCCCGATGAACTTTATAATCAACTTATAAATTTACCTGTTGAGACTCTTATTGGAATTATATCAGATTTATACATTAGCTTGGAAAGGACTGACATGTTAATGGTGACTACAAATTTATATTTTTAGAACATAATATGCTTCTCCATTTATTCAGGTCTTGGTTTTGTATCCTTCAGTAAAATACCACCATTATATTTTAATAAGTTGAGCATAACCTCTTTAACTGTTTTCTTCCATGTGTGCCTATTTCTCATCTCTACATAAATTCTAAAATTCCAACAATTTTTGAATAAAGATCACTTCCTCATTTCCTATAAAATAAAGTATTAGATAATCTTTAAGAGCTACTTCAGCTAAGAAAATTCAATAACTTTCTATAAACACTCCAAAAAACAACACTCTAAAAATCACCTAAAGGATGTACATGTTCATATATAAAAGACAAAGTATCTGCACCAAGGATGGTCAACTGGTTTCATCTTGAAGAGTAACTCTCATCCATCAGAAATGGCTGCCAAGAGTGGTAAACTCAGAACATCTAGGTTTAAGGGAAAAGAACACCATAATGAATTATCGATTTCTACCATGAGGGAGGGAATGGAAAATGGTGACATAAATGCCAAGTATCTGCCATACATGAAGTTCACCAAACTACTAACAGTGGTCGTTTCTGGAAGTGGAATTACGGCAAGAAGGCTTTCATCTTTTTACACTCCTACATTGTTTGCATTTTTTTAAACAAGCAAATATTTTGCTTTCAAAATCAGAAAAAAGAAAGCTTAAGTTTGTAAAAAACACTGCAACTTCTTAATGAATATTTAATAGTGGTATATTTCTATTTCATTATCTCCCATAAATTTCTAATTTCCTTAAGAATTTTTCCAGAAGAAAGTTCTTACAATTCAGGTTTTAAAAGATGCATTAAGGGACTTCCCTGGTGACGCAGTGGCTAAGACTCTATGCTCCCAATGCAGGGGGCGAGGATTCAACCACCGGTCGGGGAACTAGATCCCACATGCACGCCGCAACTAAGAGTCCAAATGCCACAACTAAGGAACCCGCCTGCCGCAACTAAGACCCGGCACAACCCAAATAAATAATAAATATTTTTTAAAAAAAGATGCATTAAAAAAAACCAAAAACAAAACAAAAAACACCTTACCTCTCTAGATAAAGTATCCCTTAAATATTATTTCCAGTATCTATGCCACAATACTGTATTATTACTCTTGACTAAAGTCATCAGGAAAGCATGAACATAAACTAAGAAATTATGTAGGAAAATGTGGTTTTAGCACTTTTAACACTTACAATTCAATTTCAACCATGCCTTTGGAACATCCTCTCTTCACAAAAAAGCCAACCTAAGATATAAGAAAGACAAAGTGAGCTGTGTGATGACATTCCCAGGTTAACAATGAGCGATTTAGCAAAGTCATCATTATTTGTCAGATTCTTTCAATAACTACTCTGTACATTCATTCCCATCACCTTCTAATTGCACCCTTCCCAGATTTAGACTCCTCCATTGGTTCCACTCACAGATAGTCATCATCTAAGTTACCATTTATTGAACCTTCTATGTGCCTAATAGCCTCTTACAAAGTTCATGACAGAGCCAGTAAGTAGTGCAGAGCAAGGATCTGAGCCCAGGTAGCCCAGCTCCAGACCCTGGGTACTTCTATGGAGTCGCACAGATTAAATATTATTAACAATCACTCTAAAAGTACTCATCCTGTTATTAATTAGGATACACCTACCACCCAGCACTTAAAAAAAAGAGCAATAAACGTAGTAAATACAATTTAAGTAAGTACAATTTATATAGTATAATAGACATATTTAAGCTAGTTTCTATATATTTGAGCATAAGTATGAAAAAAGACCCTGGGCCTAAAAAAATCAGATTGGATCTTAAATTAGGCTGTAAGTAAGTAATACTTAAAAAAAGGCAAAAACTGCACCTTGCAAACAATTGTCTTTTTAATAGTGATGATGACAATTATAACCACAACAGTTAACATTTATTAAGCATTACTAAATGTTTCTGTGCTAAGCACTTTATATACAATTTTCTCATTTAATACTCATGAGCAAAGTTATGAGCTATATGTTATATCCATTTTATAGATTATGAAAGTGAAACCCAGAAATATGAAAAAGCCTGTTCCTGTAACAAGAAAGTACAGCTTAATGATCAAGAGTACAGGCTTTACCGTGTCTAGTTCAAATCTCAAGTCTGCCATATATAAGCTGTTTGACCTTAACCAGGTTACTTAGCCTGTTGTTTCAGTTTCTTCATAGATAGGGAAAACAGTGGCATTTTTGTAGGAGTGGGTCATCTACTCATTAGCTTGCAACAATTAAAATACTTCGTACCAAATGGAAGAAAAGATCAGGAGGAAGTTTTTATTATAAAGTATCTGTACAGGTGGTACAGAACATGCTTGTACTAAATTTTTATGTTAGCATTTAAATAGAAATACAACATTAAAAAGGTATTTTTGCTAAGAACTTGGACATCCCCTAAACACAAGGTCTGCAATCTGTCATCTAAGAAACACTGCACTGCACTCCACAGCTTCCTTTAAAAAGCCTACCACTCAAGGGTGAGGAGAGATGTGTCTTCTTTATGACACAAATAAATAGGAAGATTGGTGAACATTGTTACAGCCCAATCCATTCTGACCATACAGCCCTTGGAGCACAATCCAGCAGACTATTACACAGAGATAAGGATTCAATAAATGATTTCTGAAAATTACATATCAGGAATTCCCTGGCGGTCCAGTGGTTAGGACTCCGTGCTTTCACTGCCAACAGCCGGGGTTCGATCCCTGGTCAGGGAACTAAAATCCCACAAGCCGAGCAGTGGGCAGTGCGGCCACAAAACAGACAAAACTACGTATCAATATTTATAAAAATCTGAGTGGGTCCTTGGAAATTATCTACCCCAACCCGTTCTTTGAAATAAAGAAAAACTGAGTTCCAGACAAATGACTAAGGTTACAAAGCCAATCATTAATAAAGCAGTATCTTTTCTACCTCATAAATGCCTCCCACAGAGCATTAAAAAAATCATATTTTGAATACGTTATTTATAATCATAAGGGGTGTAAAACTCAATCTTGTAACCTACATTAAATTTTAAGCCTGGCTAAGAAACCTGTAATATCATTTTGATAATATCGTAATATTTACAACAGTTTTAGAAAAATGAATCACTTCAAGTTTTAAAAATATTTTACAGTGAAGTAACAACTCAACTTTTAGACTTTTTTAAAAAAATTATTTTATTTATTTTTGGTTGCTTTGGGTCTTTGTTGCTGCGCATGGGCTTTCTCTAGTTGCGGTGAGCAGGGGCTACTCTTTGTTGCGGTGTGTGGGCTTCTCATTGCGGTGGCTTCTCTCGTTGTGGAGCACGGGCTCTAGGCGCACGGGCTTCAGTAGTTGTGGCATGTAAGCTCAGTAGTTGTGGCGCACGGGCTTAGTTGCTCCGCGGCATGTGGGATCTTCCCGGACCAGGGCTCGAACCCATGTCCCTTGCATTGGCAGGCGGATTCTTAACTACCATGCCACCAGGGAAGCCCCTAGACTTTCTTTTTAAAATATGTTTTTATGTGAAATACATACCACACAGTAAATATGAACTTTATGCACTGTTTAAGAAATAACAAAACAACCATGTATCTACCTATTTAAGGAACTGATCACTACCAGTGTATCTGACATTCCTTAATTCACGCCAGCTACGTCCTTCTCTCTCGACAGATGTAATCTCTAAATTGATTTGCTGATAATTCTTTTGCTTTTATTTTTACTGTATAAATCTCCAAATATTAAATATATATTATATATATATTTGACCATTCCAGAAACAAATTCACATTACATGTATTTTTCTGTGATGGCATTTTTCCTTAAAATTCTGTTTTTGAGATTTAACCAATGAGCCAAAGTTTGCTTTTACTGTCATATAATATTCAATTTTATTTGACTATACTAAATTTTATTGCAAACAATGTTTCTATAAATATTTCCATAATTTCACCTAGTATAAATGGACACAAGCTTACTAAGGTACCTAGAAGTAGAATTTTTGAGGGACTGGATATAGGCATTTACAGATTTACTAGGTAATGCCATATTTTCCAAGGGGGTTGTACAAATTCATATTCCCACCAAGAATGTATCAGAGTTCCCACTGCTTTATATCCTTATAAGCCACATGGCACCACAAGAATTTTTGTGGGTCTAATGGATGCACCATGCCAGGGTTAATTCGTTTCTCTGATAATTAATGAAGCTGAGCATATTTTCATGTATTTACTGGCTGTTTGGGGTGCCTCTTCTGTGAGACATCTGAGCATATCTTTTGCTCATTTATCTTCTCAGTTGCCATTATTTTGATTATGTAGTCTGGATACCAATCTTGTTATATGTGCTATATATATACCTTCTCTCATTTGTAACTAGTCTTTTCTCTACAAGGTGTCTTTTGATGAACAAAAGTTCCTTAATTTTACTGTAGTTGAATTTATCAACCTTTCCTTTGCAGTCTATATTTTTATTTAAGAAATTCTTCTTTAATCTGAAGTCACAAGGATATTTTCTTCGACTACCAATCTTTTCCAGAAACTTTCTGTTCAATCACATTTAGATCTTTAATATACCTGGAACTGATTTTTGTTGTAGTGTGAAGAAAGGACTCAATTTCATTTTTTCCTATACCAATAAGCAACTGTCTCCGTAGTATTTATTCATCTCTTCCCCACTCATCCACAGTGTCAGTTCTGTCATAAATCAAGTTTTTACTAATCATGGCTTTGTATCTGGGCTCTTTATTCTGTCACATCACACTAGTCTATCCTACACCAATACCACAATGTCTTAATTTACTGTAATTTTGTATTGTCTTGATATCTGATAGGCAAGTTTTTCCATTTTGTCCTATTTCTTTAGAAGTATCTTAGCTATTTCTGGCCCTTTATTCTTCCACCTAAAATTTAGAGTCAGCTTGTAATTTATATAGACAATATAGGGATTTTGACTGGAATGACATTTTTATATTAGATCTTCTTGTCCATTAATACAGTGCATCTCTCTAAACTTCAATGTTTTTAAATAAAAAATTGTAATTTCTGCATATAGGTTTTACATGTCTTTTATTAATTTACTGCTATGAAACTTGTACTTTTGTGGCTGTAATGTCCATTTTTAATTGCATTTTCTGGTCTTTGTTAGTATATAGAAATGCAATTGATTTTTGTTATACAACTTTTTTTGGCAGGGTCTCAGTTTTTATTTCTAATCTGATAATTATTTTTAAGTTTATTATTGTTTTTGTTTTCGTTCTTGCGGTACACGGGCCTCTCACTGCCGTGGCCTCTCCCGTTGCAGAGCACAGGCTCCGGACGCACAGGCTCAGTGGCCATGGCTCACGGGCCCAGCCGCTCCACGGCATGTGGGATCTTCCCAGACCGGGGCACGAACCTGTGTCCCCTGCATCGGCAGGCGGACTCTCAACCACTGCGCCACCAGGGAAACCCTAAATTTATTATTAATTCTAATCAACAGATATAACTCACAGAAACAAAAGGTTTTGGAGTCCTCAGTAAGTTAAAGAATGTAAAAAGGTCCTTGCCTTAGTCTGGGCTTCTATAAAAAAAATACCACAGGCTGGGTGGCTTTAACATTTATTTCTCACAAATCTGAAGGTTAGGAAGTCCAAGATCAAGGTGCCTACAGAGTCAGTGTCTGGGTTATACAATCTTATATCTAGTAATCCTGATAAATTTGCATATTGATCCTTCAGGAGGCTTATCTGGAGTTTCTTTGTGGTTTTTATGCAGACACTCACATAATCTGTGAATGACAGTTTTCTTTCTTTCCAACATGTATCTTTTCTGTTCTACCTAGAACTGCCAGTACAATGTTCAATAGTAATGGTAGTAGGCAACCTTGACTTGCTCCTGAACTTGCTGTACATTTTCATAGATATCTTTTGTGAAATTAATAAAGGTCCCTTCTATTCCTAGTTTGCTAAGAGCTTTTAATCATACATTACTGTGGAATTTAACTGAATGCTTTTTCTCTATCTATTAAGATGACCATAGAGTTCTTCTCCTTTAAAATGTGGTTGATTCTTAGGAAAAAATGAACATAATACATCTCTCACTCCTTGAATAAATTCAATTTGGTCATGATGTGTTATGTACTATTAAATTCAAAATGCTACAGTTTCTTTTTTGTGTGTGATTTTTGCTTCTAGATTCATGAGTGAGACAGGCTTGTAATTTTTTCATTCTATCCTTGATTGATTTGGGTACCTAGGGTCACATTCTCTGTGTAAAATAGAAACTTACTGCTATTAGGACTAATCCACAATTGTCTTTGTCTTTCTCTATGAGAAAAAATTTACCAGCTAATTTATCTTTTCTACTTAGTCAGTTTTGATAATTTAAGTAGTTGTAGAAACATTTATAGTTACAACTTTTTAAAAATTTAAACTTGAGTGGCATAATGATTCTCATAATATTCTTATATAATCTTTCAAACCTCTGCTGCATTCTTGTAACACCCTCGTGGTAGTCATCAGGGCAGTTCGTGAATATTCTGATTCTCCTTTCAAGCAAATGACTGCACTTGCTCTTTCTCTCTGATCCAAGTTATGGCTTCACGACATGCTTTGTCCAATGAAATATGAGCGCAACATATATATTTACTATTGAAAAATATTCACATATAAGTGGACCTGTGCAGTTCAAACCTGCATTCTTCAAGGGTAAACTGTATATACTGAAATGAAGATTCTATAAGGCTAAAGTACCTAAGTGACCACAAAGGGCCTACACTGGATAAGCAGCAAGAATTAATCTTTTGTATATTTAAACCACTTAAATTTGGGGGTTTTCTGGATCACAATTTAACATATCTTAACTATTACTTTTTGCCATTCCTTATATTTTTTTCTTCCTTTCTCTCCCTGCCCCCAGAAGTTACTGATTTAAATAGTATTTTTGAAAAGCAATTTTTAGTTTTGTGGTTCCTACTGAATCATTGTTTATTATTTTATTAATTTCTGCTCTTACTTTTCAGTTTCTATTAAAATTTCTTCTTTGACCTGTGGATAATATAGAAGTACATGTTTCATTCTAAACAAATGGGAAAATTTTAGTTATCTTCTTTATTATTTCTATCTTAATAGCACTGTGGTCAGAGAACATAGTTATGTGGTAGCAATTCTTTGATATTTTTTGATATTGCTTTATGGCTCAGTTTATGGTTAATTTTAAGAAATATTCCATTTCTGCTTAAAAAGAATGTATGCTCTACCAATTGTTGAGTGCAGTGTTTACAACATGTCCATTAGTTCAATCTAACTGTTGTTCATACCTTCTATACTCTTACTAATTTTTTATCTGATTGGATCTACTGATTACCACTAGCTCTTCCACTATAATTCTGGAGCTGTTAACTTGTCTTTAAGAACTCTGTGATTGTGCTTATATATTTTGGAACTAGATAATGTGAATTTAAGTTGGGAGCTGAATTATCTTCTTGCTGAACTGAAACTTTCTTCAATATTTAACGACCATCTTTATCTCTAAAAGTTCTTTTTTCCTTTAAATTCTATTTTGCCTGGTATAAATTCAGCTACACCTACTTTCTTTTGGATAATATTTGCCTGGTACGTATTTTTTCATCCTTTTACTTTCAACTTCTCTGTAGTTCTTTATTTTAGATATGCTTATTGTAAACAAAACAGAATGGAACTTTATTTATGTACTCTGACTTTCTCATTTAACAAGAATGTAGAGCATTTATTATTATTGTGAATGTATTTCCACTATCTTTTTTATGTTTTTTAATAATATCCTTTTCTATATTTCTCTTTCTTTTCTCTTCCTCCTCCTTTCTTGAGACTCCTTCTGGGTTGTTTGGGCAGTGGTTATTTTTTCTCTACTTCTCTCTTCCTACTTTAACCTTTCTTGTTTGGAGATTATATATTTCAATTTTTTTACTGGCTTACCCTAGAAATTTTAACATGCATATTTAGCTTAATAAACTCTGAAGCTAACCAATTATCTTAACTTCCTCCCAACAATACAAATTCAAAGAATACTTCAACTTTGATCACTTCCTTCCTGTTGTCCAGGAAGGACATGTAGTACTATCTTCTTTGATTTAAAAACTTGACAAATGAGACATTAGTATTATTTTACACAGTTTACTTCCCTACATGTTTACCATTTTTTTGCTCACCATTTCTTCTTACCTCTCAGACTTCCTTCTGGGATCATTTTCCTTCTTCCTAAATTATATACTTTCAAAGTTCCTTTATGAGCATCTCAAACTGTTCTTTTCTTTGCCCCTCTGTTTCCATTCTGAGACAATATTACTACTATGTTTGGTATTCTGGAATTTACTACAATGTGTCTATTTGTGTATTTCTTTCATTTACCCTGTCTGGGATACATTAGGTATCTTGAATCTGAGGATTCAAGTTTTTCAACATTTCTGGAAAATTCTTAGTCATTCTTTCTTGAATATTGCCTCTTCCTTAGTCCATTAACTATCAGGTCACAATCTTTATTTCACACTTTTTTCTCACTTTATCTCTATATTGCATTTTTAGAAAAACTGTCAAGTATTTTGGTTCACAAATTCTCAAATATGTCTGCTTTGTTGTTTTACCTGTCCATGAAGTTTCCCTCCCATGTACTGTTATTTTTTTATGTTCTATTTGATTCAGATTTACCTGATCAAATTTTTCAAATTTACCTGATCTTTTTTGTTACTTATTCTTTTGTTATACTTGCAATCTTCTTTCAGTTCCTTAAATAAATTAAGTATTCCTAGTTTACATTCTGTGTCTACAAGCTTTGCAGGTCTGATTGTATAGTCTGTTGTTTTTGTTAGCTCTCATTTTTGGTGATTCATTTCCTCCTATGCTTTGTGATTTTTTTAGGTATGGATTCATGAATTTCTTAGAGCTTTATGTTGAGGACTGGATTGAGGATATTTTCCTTCAGAGGATTTGCATTTGCTTCTGCCTGAAGAGAGATGTTACTAACTGGGACCACTTTAAACTAAAATTACAATGTATGTGATAAGACTCGTTTGGAAGATCTTCTTTTTTTTATCTACTGTATTCAGAGCTAACAATGAGATAAGTAACCTCACTGTCCCACTTTGTGATTTTTTTTTTCTTCTGCTACATGCAGTGCTTGGCTTCTAGTTTTATCTTCTAACCCTTCTGCACCTTCAGGACCCCCAATCCTATGCAACCAATTCAAAGCCAGGCTTTAGGGTGCAAGGTAAAGCAAATGCCCCTGGGTAAACAACCCCAGAGCTTGTAGAAATCTTTAGATCCAAACTACTTTGTTTGTGCCCTTTGTAAACTTACTTCACCTTTCCACAAGCCCAGAAATACATTTAAAAAGATATATTTTACATTATTTCTAAGGTTGCAGGTGTTACATACTTGGAGAATTCTCTAGGTATATAGTGCACACTACTTCTGGAAATGGAAATCTCCCCACAGTGTCCCTGCCAACTTCATTATTTATATTCAAGCACAACACATTTGCTATACTCAAGGAATGGAGATATAGAAATTGATTTGTTACTAAAAGCAATTCATGGCTTTGAATTCTGTTAAAAAGTACGTATGTTAACTCACCTTATCTGCCCGTCCCATGAAAGCAGGTTTGCCTGCTAATCCAAGGCAAATGGCACACACGATGCTGGACTTCCCTGTTCCATTAGCTCCAATAATCATATTCAAGTGGGGCCCAGGAGACACTTCACAGATATCATATGTTCTAAATTATAAAGAGGTGATATTACTAAGCAGAGATAAGAAGTGAAGAATATTTTCTTACCAAAGCACTTTTTCTTCCTTTACCCTTATCATTACCTGCAGGCTTCCTCAAATTCTTTTAAAAACCACCTAACCTTACAAATTTAATGTCAGGTTAATTTATAGGTTGTTAATAAACTAGAGGGAAAAAAATCTGTCAGTGGGAGAAATGAAAAAGTGATAATGTGTATCTAAAATAAGAACATTCATGGGAAAATAAGACTTCATGTGCTTTTTTTCAAATATTAAGTCTGCTGAATAAAGCAAAGTTTCATATTATTTACTCTTTAATAATTACAATACATGAGAGAGTACATCAAAGCTACTATACAAATAAGATAATTTTTAACCAAATTATATGTAAGTGAAGCCATGGCTCATCCTGAATCTGTGGATTTTACATTTATATTTCTCTTGAATTAAAACGCTTACTAGCAACTTCTCATAGTCAACCAAATTATTTCTATTCTAATTAGAAAACTGAAGATATATCAAGCCAATAGTTTAATTTTTATTATTACTTAAAAAATAACATCCAATTCCTTTAATATGCTGCCAGACATTCACCAAAGGATCTATTTTTAGTACAAATTCAAGTAAATTTTATTCCTATGGGAGGAAACAAGAGTGCATCATCACCAAGCACTTTTGTAACATTCCCTCATACTAGAAGGCAGCATGCTGTCCAGCACTCTACATGCAACAGTACCATCTAATCCATATTAGTACTCCGGGACAGCTACGGCTAAATGTGAAGTGAACTCTGACTCAGATATCCTTCTACCTTGTCTTTGAATATTCTGAATTGGAACCCATAAATAATGTCCTGTTCCCACAGGGTTTCAGTTAGCTGCCAACTAATTCCCCAAGAGTAAAAAAAACCTTAGCCTGTTACCTGCTAAGTATTTAAATAATTTAACCAAGCACACTTTAACTTTAACACTCAAACAAATTAACAATTCTGAAATGCCACATGGTAATAAAATAAATACAGGTGGTAAAGAGAGGTATTTTCTGGCAGGTTTCCAACCCCACATCTCTGTACAGCACCTATCTATCTATCTTTTCAGAAGCTTTATTCTAGTAACAGCTGAGCCTTAAAGCAATCCTTTACAACGGCTAAAATAAAACTAGTTTGGGAATTTCAGACATCTGGAAAAGTATCTGACATGGAACTTCTTAACCCAACACATGAAGCTCCATTCTATTAATACTGGAATTTCCTGATGTGAAATCTCTGTGTGACTGTCTTACTAAAATAGTAATGCAACTGGTATTTAAGCAAACAATAAATACAACAGGAAGAAGCATGAGAACTTCTGGCCTATACTATACACACAAATATTATAAACAGGAAAAATTGCCCAAAACAAAATAAAGCCTCTGCATTTTTTTTTTTTTTTGCGGTACACGGGCCTCTCATTGTTGCGGCCCCTCCCGCTGCGGAGCACAGGCTCCGGATGCGCAGGCTCAGCGGCCATGGCTCACGGGCCCAGCTGCTCCGCAGCATGTGGGATCTTCCCGGACCGGGGCACAAACCCATGTCCCCTGCATCGGCAGGCGGACTCTCAACCACTGCGCCACCAGGGAAGCCCAAGCCTCTGCATTTTAAAAAACCTTTCTGACTCTAAAATATGTTTACTGGGAATTCCCTTTTTGTGAGTTCCCTTTGCTCTGAGCTCGCCCTGAAAGAGCTAATGTCAGAGGCCCACCCTCTTCTCAGTCTACATACTTTGCCTAGTACCTCATGTATTCTCCATGGCCTCAGGTAGCATCTGTATGCTGAAAGTCAGTCCAGATGACCTATATAGATGGAATTCCCACCTCAAGAACTCTATTTGGATAGAGTCACCTCAAACTTAACACATTCAAAATTAAACCCACCATCTTTTCCATCTAAAACCACTCTTATAGTCTCTTAGTGAAGGATATCATCATTCATCTCACTGCCCAAGTCAGAAACCTAGGCATTAGTTTTGCATCATCTTTGATTCTTACCATCTCCTTCACCTCTATCCACACTACCCACCCGCCCATCATCCAATCAATCACCAAATCATGTTGGTAGACAAGCAAATCTGAAATAACTTGTTTTAAAGAAAAAGAAGGACTTCCCTGGTGGCGCAGTGGTTAAGAATCCACCTGCCAATGCAGGGGACATGGGTTTGAGCCCTGGTCCGGGAAGATCTCACATGCCGTAGAGCAACAAAGCCCATGCGCCACAACTACTGAGCCTGTGCTCTAGAGCCCGCGAGCCACAAATACTGAGCCCATGTGCCACAACTACTGAAGCCCACACGCCTAGAGCCCGTGCTCCATAACAAAGACAAGCCACCACAATGAGAAGCACGTGCACTGCAACGAAGAGTAGCCCCCACTCGCCACAACTAAAGAAAGCCCGCGCGCAGCAACGAAGACCAAACCCAGCCATACGTTCATACATACATACATACATACATAAAGTTTTTTTAAAAAAAGAAAAAGAAAAAATAGGACCCTTCATAACTTAGCTCTAGCTCATTGTTTTCTACTTTCTATCTCCTTCCCCTATTCTCTAATAAGACCTCTATATTCTAACTATAATGAATTTTTCAGTTTCTTGACTATCTTATGCTTCCTTCTTTCTCCAAGCCTTTGCACATGCTATTCCTTCTGCCTAGAAATCTCTCCCCCCATTCTCGATCCCATTCGACTTGGTTAACTACCAGGAATCCTTCCTTTGACTACCCTCTTCCAGGCCATTTCGGTTCTCTAAGCCTACTCTTCCTACTTCATTCCTAAAACTCAAAGTCCTCTCATTGTAAAAACAAACAAAACCTCCCCTAGCTCTGCACTTTCCAGCTACCTTTTCTTTCTCCTCTTCACATCCAAGCTTTACTTCCTCACACTCATTCATTCTTCAATGACTGCAAAGTTTTCTGCTTCCACTACTTCAAAGTGTCAAAGATTTCCTAACTGCTAAATGCAGCAGGTTCTTTTCTGTCCTGTTATCTGACTTCACTGTAGCAGATGATATTTTTGAAGCGCTCTTTTTCCTTGGCTTCTTTGATAATACTCTCCCACGGTTCTCCTCTTACTTTCCTGAACAGTTCTTTCTTAGTCTGTGAGTTCTTCTGCTCGCCTTTAAATGTTGTCATTCCTCCAGGACACCGTACTCAGCCTTCTATTCCTATTTATATTCCCTTTTGGGCAATCTCAACCATTTCTGCAATTTCAACAATCACCTATATGCATGATTCTCAAGTCTCTCACCTCTCACATTTTCCTGTAAGCTCCAAACCCTTAAAACTACTGACTATAAAAGATCTTTAAGATGCCCCACAGGAAACTTCAATTCACAGGATCCAAAAGGCATTTATTATTATCCTCCCCAAATTGCTCCTTCTGCATAGCACTATATATGACCAACTTGCCAAGGCAGAGACTTGAGAAAAATGCTCCATTCCTCCCTTACCCTCATGCCTCACAATTAATCTACAGCCAAATCCTGTCAAATCTCTTCTTTCCGATCCTACTTCCCACTGCTAGGTTCAAACCCTAATCATCTCTGCCTTCATATTGTAAAAGCCTTCTTGCCTACAATCTTGCACCCTTTCTAAATCATCCTTCACTCTGCTTTCAAAGTAATATAAATCATACGTCATGCCCTGCTTAAAATGCATCCTGGCTGCCTACAGGATAAAGTTGGAATTCCTCAGCAAAGGAAACACAGACCCTCAACATCTGTCTACATCTTCAGTATCTACTCTGTCCACATACTAGCTCACATCCTATGTTCTAGCCATACTAAAATACTGGAAATCTCCCCAATATAGCAAACTGTTTCAGGCAGTTCCTTGCTCTTCCCTTCTTTTAAGACTTTCATAACCCTCAGTACAAAGCCCTTCTCACAACTGTGGACGAAATTAATCATTGCATCCTTTGTGCCCGCACGGCATCATGACGCATATATATTATTATGGTAGGTACTTCATTTAATTATATTTATCTTTCCTGATTTGGATTCAAACAGCAATTCACCTACTTATTAGCTGTGTAAACGCCGGCAAATTAACCTCTCTAAGCTTATCAATGCAGGTGATATAAAGAGTTGTTATGAGGAATGAATGAGGGCACTGTGTAAATAAAGCACCTACTTCTATACCTGGCACATGATAGATGCTTGGAAAAAAAAATGTTCCTATTGTTACTGCAATTCTGTTTTCCCTACACCGCTCTGTGAAAGCTTAAAAAAAAAGAAAAAAAAAAAAAACAGGCCTTGATCAAACGAACTCCAAGGTGCTAAACGGATACACGGTATTTGTGTTAGAACATGTTTACTCAATTCTAAAGTGAGTATTATGATTAGTTGTCTGAAGGGTAAGAAAGGAACCAGGGAAGAAAGCCAGATTTAAAGGAGTCAAGGGTCTGTTGGGAGGCGCAACAACTGAAAGTAAGGCTCAGTGTTCCTGTACATTTCAACCTCCATCCAGAACAACCTTCACCATCTTTGTCCACCTGGCAACTGCCTAGTCCTCACGTATCTGCCGCAGCATCATTGCCACTTTGATTTAACTGTTGCAGCCTCTAAGTTCCCAGAACGCATAGTTTTTTCAATTACAGATTATGTCCTACCTTTCTAGGCCGTGACTCCCAGCGGGCGGAGATCTAATTCCTACTACTTCCAAGGCCCGCCATATGACGCCTTCAAGCAACGTTGGCATTAAGAATTTAAAAACCGTAACACACTACACACACGACTACCGCATCAACACACACGTCGATCTCCACGGCCCACAAGTAAATATCCTCACGGCAATCCCGGCAAGAATTTACTGTCAGACGCACAAGCCAGGCACACATCCACCCACCCGGCCCCGCACGCACTCAGCCCGCGCCCCCAGTGTGCGGGCCCGCTCGCCTCCCCCGCCGCGGCACGGCCTCCGGCCACTCACAGGAAGTTCTCCATAGCGATGCGAACGATAGAGCCTTCAACGAAAGGCCCGGACGACTGCAGCGGCAGTGGCGGCAGCGCCGCCGGTGGGGCCGAACTCTTTTTCTTGTTCGGGACTTCCGACGAGGGATCTCTCGGGAAAGCTCTCTTGGGGGCCAGGGGACTTGGGGTGGACGTTTTCCTGCTCGGAGTCGCCATCCTGGCTGCCTCTCTTCCTGGCCGTGGCTTCCGTTCCCACAGACCCGCAGCTCCGACGCTCCAGCGCCCCACTCCCGCGCGAAGTGAGCGGCGCGCGACTCCCCCGCGAGCCCGCCCCGCGCCTGCGCAGTCCAGGCCCGTAGCGTCAGCGGGCATACCCCGCCCCTCCCACCGCCCTGTGCAGGGCCTAACCTGAGCCGGCGAGAATAGAGCGGCGGGGTTTGGGAACTCGCGGAAAGCGGATACGGGATTTTCTGCTCTGTATTTTCAGAGGTTTTGTTTGTTTTTAACTCAGAAAAAGATGTCAGTTGCATTTAGTATTTTGAAAGACTTTTCAGCGCTCCGAGGAAACAGATCCGGGAGGGGACGGAGGGCGGCGTTTGCGGTGGTACCTGGGTGGGCCGGGGTCCCGAGTGCGCCGGGACTCGCCGGTTTGGAGTCCGGCGAGTCTTCTTACTTTGCTTTCAATCAGGTCTCCGTGTCCAAAAAAAAAAAAAAAAACACAAAAGAAAAAAAAGACTTTTTCAAATGGCTCTATGCTTGCTTCTCCCCTAAAACATCGCGCTAGGGTCTCCTGCGGTCTCCAACAGATGGAACGACTACACCGCAAAGGTTCTCCTCATTGACTCTCCACCCCCTCGCTCCCTAATTCTCTATTAAGACTTCCTCGCCTGAGGTTTCTAGAAATCCCCGCTGGCGTCATTGAGCGGGTGCTTCCACTTAAACCTACTCACATTCATCTAGTTAACTCCCTTACTAAAGATGAGGTTCCCTGAGGTCTACATAGGTCTTCGCTCACTCAACTAATAATGTCTAATCTACGAGAGGCTGGGCTGTGGTACTAAGGGATCCAGTCAATGCTGCATGTCTCAGAGCTTACGTTCTGGTGTGTGAGACAGGAACAGAACAAGATAACCTACATATGATCAGGATAATTTCAGGCGGTGATAGGTCCCAGGAAGAAAAAACAGAATGAATGTGATGGAGAGTCAGGAAAGGCCTGTCAGAGGAAGTGATATTTAAGCTAAACCCTGAAGGAACACGAGCCAGGTGTGGAAATGAGAAAGGAGCATTCCAGGCAAGGACAGAGACTCTGAGGTGGGAAACAGTGGAATGAGGAACGAAGGGAAGGCAGCGTGGTTGCAGTGAAGTGAGCAAGGTTGCTTAGGGGAGCCTTGCCCATCATGCATTTTATTTTAAAAGCAATGGGAAGCCATTGGATGGTTTTAAGCAGGAGAGAGATGTGATCTGATTAAAGTTTTTAAGTGAGCACTCTGCTGATTCGACAGGGTCAAGCATGGGAGTGGGGAGGCCATTGAGGAAGCTATTGCAGTAGAACCCTGATTCCTGACTCCTGGACAAATGCTCCTTTCCCAGGCTCCTGCTTCTTCCTCTCACACAACTGAAATCTGTGCTCTCTAAAAGTTGTAACCAAAGAAAAGTAGAATAAGTTTTTTTAAAAAAAGTGAACTTGTTATTAGAAAATTTTAATACAAATTAAAATAAAGTAGAATACCTTTATAACTGTTCAAAAGGCAGGAAATAATTTAAAAAATAGTGTTTAGGAGGGCACTATCCTGTCATTTGCTACATTACTAGTACAAATTTTTTGAAAAGTGACTTGGTACCCTGCTTCAAGAGCCTTAGAAGAGTCAAATTCTTTGAAGAAATGATTACATTTAGGGAAACCTATCCTAATGGAAAAATAATGTAGGCGTAATGAGAGTTGAGAGCAAGGAACATATCTAATCATTTTATATCATCATTAGTTCTTTAGTGAACTACTCAAATTGTGCTCATAAACTTGAAAGTTGGGAAAGAGCCCCTGAACTTGTGATGACCCCATGAATGCACACACACTATGAGTTCTTGTCTAGACAGTCAGCCAGTCATACTCTACCATCATCCTTTGAAAAGGAAAATGTTACTGGGTTTCGCAAACACAATTTGTGTTAAATGCCGAAATTTGGGAACACAGAGAAAAACATACACAAAGGGGAAAATTACTCATAATTCCTTTACCCAGACTAATCATTGTTAAGATTTTGGTGTATGTTTTGATATCTTTTTTCCTTGTATATGTATGTTATGGCCCTTTTGTTAAAAAAAAAAAAAGGATTATACTGCACAAATTATATATACTGTTATTTAACCCCCTTTTTCTCACTTATTATCTTTCTATGCCATTAAATATTTTTCTGTAACACAGTTTTAGGTAACTATATAGTATAGGGTAGTATATAGTATTCCATCAAACAGATTTAAATAATCCTCTTTTGTTGGACTCTATGACTGGAAGTTAGCATGAACCAGAGAGACACTGGCAGGTTATACTAGCTCAGTGCTTCCTAATATTAACAATTTCATACACCCACAAAGGTATACACATTTATTTATTAACCAGCCACGTCTGGTTTCTTTAATTCCACTGGTGAAAACTGTCTTGAAAGGGGTTGTGTTAAAGAGGCAGAAGGAGGTCTTTGGAAATAGAATATCAATTAACCAGAATCTGATGCTAATGAATGAATGAGTGAGCCAAAACGGTTAATCCTACACATCCATGATTTAAAGTCCAGTCGTCAGCTCAATTCATCGTGCCATCCTTGCTAGGTAATAGACGTGGCAAGGCAACTGTATTTAACTTTTTATTGACCGAGGAATAAGTGACCAGGGGCCATTTTAAGTGATGGCCTTCCAATTCTGCAGAAACTTTAAAACTGACACAAACAAAAACCTGGCAGACAGGGGTAGGGTCAAGGATTATAAATATATTTCACCTCACCAGTAGAATATCATATTCTATGTTCTCTTTCTTGGCTTCACTCCAAGCTTTGGATAATGATGCCGCAATAGCAAGAAGGTGGGGGCACAATGCCTGGAATGGGACACCGCTGAGGCCATCTCTGACTGAGACAGTTTTCTCTTCCAGTTCTAACAAGAACCCTCACAGGTTAACAGGAATACTCTCCTCTGGTTTATATACCAAGTGAGAGGGAATATTTCTTTTGCTTTTGGTAAATTCATAAAGTAGAAAAGTGAACCATCCTGGCTTGAAAGGGAGGGAAGAAATCAGATGCTAAAACCTAAGTCCCTGGCTCCCAGGAACAACCCTCCCCCCTCTCCCCGCTCCCAGCACATATGCACACACATATATACACACTTTCTCATCAACCTAGTTAAGGAACTGATGGGGAAGATCTAGGCAGGGATGAGGGTTTCTGAAGAGAATGAACACCCTTCCCACAGGGAACTGAAACCCCATAAAACAAGTTCTGCTAGCGGTAAGAATACCTTATATCTACAGTTCTTAATTTTTAAAAATTTGTTTCTAACATCATACAAAAGTTGAAAACAATCAAAATATCTACTTCTTCTTGGTGTAGCAATATTAGTATTAGAATTGGTTGTAATAATAGCTATCATATTAGTAGTAATTGCTAATACTAACAGCATTTACCATATACCAGCTGCTGCTCTAAGCACTCTTTCATAACTCATTTTTATATTCTGGATCAATGTCTCAACAGATTTGTCTCTTTCTCAAATTTCCATTTATTGGATACAAAAACCAACTGAAAGATTAAAAAAATAATTAGGAATTAATATTAGGTTTCAGGTGTTCTTTGTGATGTGTCATGATAGAAAGCCTAGAGCTAAACGGGTCTTCATTTCTTTGGAGGATATAAATTGGGAAAACAATATTAAACCACTCCAGAAGGAATTTACGCTCAACTTCAAGTTGATGGTCCTCCTTGCGCAGGCTGGGTTGGGAGCCTCTGGGGGGAGAGCAAACATTTCCCCTAACACCCTGTTACTTCCTAAAGGAAAGAAAGTTGGTAATTGTCAGCATGGTGCTAAATCTGTTGAAATCAGCTTCATAAATTATAAAATAAGTGAGTCCTTTGGTATCAGGAACTGAGAGTGACATTTCATCCCAATATGTCCACAAGCTGGGGTGCTGAACTCTCCCATAACTTGTTAGTTTTAAGTTCAATTATATTTCAAAAACAATAAACTCATAGAGAAAAAAATTCAAATTTGTGGTTACCAGAGGCAGGGAGTGGGGAGAGGGGGAATTGGATGAAGGTGATCAAAAGATACAAACTTCTGGTTATAAGATAAATAAGTAGTAGGGATGTAATGTGCAACATGATAAATATAATTAACACTGCCGTGTGTTATATATGAAAGTTTTTAAGAGTGAGTCGAGTTCTCATCACAAGGAAAAAAATTTTTTTTCTTTCTTTTATATTTTGTATTTATATGAGATGAGGGTGTTCACTACACTTTCTGTGGTCATCATTTCATGATGTATGTAAGTCAGATCATTATGCTATACACCTTAAACTTATACAGTGCTGTATGGCAATTATATCTCAATAAAACTGGAAGGAAAAAAAGAAATTAACCCTGAACAATTTGGCATGATTTCATTATCTTTTTTTAATCTATTTTAAAAAATTACATATGAAACATTTGAACACATTCTTCTCTTAAAAATTAGAGTAATACAGATAAAATTAGTATACACTTGACATTTTTTTCTTCAATCATGTTGCTGTACTCCTTATCCCTCAGAGTTAACTACTCTTATACACTTGTTCAGTGTGTAATGTAATGCCTTTTAAGGTCATTTCAATATTTACGTGCATTTTATTTACAGAAAATATGTAATAATATTTTGAGTGTGAGTGCATTATGAAAATGTATTATATAAACACACAATGTAGTACATGCATACATATGTAAATGTATTAACATAAAAATATGGTAAGAATAGTTATGCAACGGCTTTTTTATTTAAAAAATATATTCCTGTGTTATATCCATGTTGACAGATATAAATCTGGCTCCCTTTTAACTGCTGTAGAGTTTTTGTATGAATATATCACACTTCATCCATTACTCTACTGATTTGAAATGTAGATTGCTTCCAGTTTTTCAGTTTTACAAACATTGCTTCAGGGAACATCCTCAGACATGTCTTTATGTATGTGTACTAGCATTTCTCTAGGATAGATACCAAAAATTAGAATTGCTAGACCATATACCACACTAATTATTTTC